TGTATAGTTTCACAAAACTGAAGTCAAATCATTCTGTTTTTGCTTCAGATTTCGAAATTATACAATCTAATTTAGACTACAAACTGTTCATGTTGCATGTATGCAGCATCTTTGTTTGGATCATGATTAAAATGCAGTGATTGCCTCTAATTTTAGCCTTAGTTTGTTTATATGAAGAGATTTCTTTTATTTGTGTTACTTATTTATTTGATTTGTGGCTTGTTTTAAAATTTCAATTTAGTTTTGTTATATGATATTTTTATTTTAAATATCAATTTAAATTGTTTAAATTATTTTACATGTATTTAAATTATTACTTTTGTGCATTGATATTACAAATATATATACATACATACATACATACATACATACACATATACACACACACACATATATATGAGACCCTGGACCACAAAAGCAGTCTTAAGTCGCTGGGGTATATTTGTAGCAATAGCCAAAAATACATTGTATGGGTCAAAATTATAGATTTTACTTTTATGCCAAAAATCATTAGGATATTAAGGAAAGATCATGTTTCATGAAGATATTTTGTAAATTTGCTACCGTAAATATATCAAAACCTAATTTTTAATTAGTAATATGCATTGTTAAGGACTTCATTTGGACAGTTTTAAAGGCGATTTTCTCAATATTTAGATTTTTTTGCACCCTCAGATTCCAGATTATCAAATAGTTGTATCTCTGCCAAATCTATCCTAACAAACTATACATCAATGGAAAGCTTATTTATTCAAATTTCATATGATGTACAAATCTCAATTTTGAAAAATTGACACTTAAGACATATACACACACACACACACACACACACACACATTGCATACATTGTATTGTAAATATATGCATTTCTTTTTAATTTTGGGATGAAATATGACGTAGATATGTTCTTGACAGGTTTTGTGAGATTTACCCATTCACATTAATCAAAACCCAAGGATTACGTGGTCTATACAGTCCTAGGTCTATGCACGAAAATGCATATGGATTAAGGCTGGAGGCCTCTCATTTAGAGCGCTGAAAACCCCATAACCATGCTTCCGTTGTGTCATATACAAGAATCACTTAACTTTCGTCATGATTGGGGAGAAACAAATGATGCATCAGGGTCTCGTCGACAACGTCCCAATCCTTTGGAACACCTAGACTGGCGCCATGGTTTTGATCAAATCAAAAGGTTTCAAATTCGATGCTGATCTTTTTTTTAAATCGATGTTCTACTTGAGCTTGCTCTTGTTGGGAAAACAAATATTTTGAGTGCTCGCTGTCATCTTCTGCTGGGCAATTTCAGGCAAGCTAATGATACTCAGAAACATTCAAAGCTCTGTGGGCAACAGAACACATCGAATAAAAATAAACGACATCGGATATGTCAACTTACTTTTGGAGCTTCTCATATTCCCGCTCAAAGTCCCTTTCAACCTGTGGAGAAATGGAGGAGACATGTGGAGAGATATGAGAAGAATGGATAGAAAGTCTCTTTAAAGAAGTGTGTGGGCAAACTGCTCTAGTTTTCTACAAGCTCTCTTGGGTGTGTAATCATAAAAACAGAATCTACAGGGCTGCAGAACCTAAGAGCGAGCGAGTCAAAAAACCTAAAGCCAGTAGAGGAAAAAAGCGAGCTGGATATCAGTTTGGGACGTTTTAGCTATTAGGAGAGATCTCTGAAGAACTTCAACAAGATCAAACGGGAAAAAAAAAAAAAAAAATTAAGAAAACAGAACAAGCAGAATCTTTCATTTGGAAATCAGCAGTTGCAAGAGGTCCTGTAATTACTGCAGTGGCCTTCTGTTGCCACATTAGCTTGTGTCCATGCCACCCTACCGCTGTGTGTAGGGGGTTAATGATGCCATAATTGCAGCAGTAGGGGTTCCTGTCCTGTGGTTCGGTGGGCAAAGTCTGTAAATAAACAATATTTGGGAAGGCAGGCAGTAGGTACCCCGTTTAGAGCAGTGTGTCCGGCCTGTGGCCTGCCCACTCATGGGTGACCATGGAAGTGTGGTGTAACAGGAACGGAGGCGAGTTAGGGAACGAAAATGCTGCTCCATCTGAAAGCATGTGCTGGAGATTTACTACTAATCACAGAACCGGCTTTACTGATAAGATACGCATGAAAATTGCATTCGATTATTTGCACAGCCCTAGTATATGGGTACCAGGGGCAGCTGTGGTAACCATTCACTTTCCATTAGTGAAATATTCCTCCTTATTGTTCTAAAAAGGTCTATGAACTGATTATCTTTCTCTGTCTTTGTTTCACAGCACACTGAACAACAACAATATCTCTCGTTTGTCAGTGGCCAGTTTTAACCACATGCCCAAGCTTAGGACATTGTGAGTATCACACACACACACACACAAACACACACACACACACACACACACACACACACACATTGCATACATTGTATTGTAAATATATGCATTTCTTTTTAATTTTGGGATGAAATATGACGTAGATATGTTCTTGACAGGTTTTGTGAGATTTACCCATTCACATTAATCAAAACCCAAGGATTACGTGGTCTATACAGTCCTAGGTCTATGCACGAAAATGCATATGGATTAAGGCTGGAGGCCTCTCATTTAGAGCGCTGAAAACCCCATAACCATGCTTCCGTTGTGTCATATACAAGAATCACTTAACTTTCGTCATGATTGGGGAGAAACAAATGATGCATCAGGGTCTCGTCGACAACGTCCCAATCCTTTGGAACACCTAGACTGGCGCCATGGTTTTGATCAAATCAAAAGGTTTCAAATTCGATGCTGATCTTTTTTTTAAATCGATGTTCTACTTGAGCTTGCTCTTGTTGGGAAAACAAATATTTTGAGTGCTCGCTGTCATCTTCTGCTGGGCAATTTCAGGCAAGCTAATGATACTCAGAAACATTCAAAGCTCTGTGGGCAACAGAACACATCGAATAAAAATAAACGACATCGGATATGTCAACTTACTTTTGGAGCTTCTCATATTCCCGCTCAAAGTCCCTTTCAACCTGTGGAGAAATGGAGGAGACATGTGGAGAGATATGAGAAGAATGGATAGAAAGTCTCTTTAAAGAAGTGTGTGGGCAAACTGCTCTAGTTTTCTACAAGCTCTCTTGGGTGTGTAATCATAAAAACAGAATCTACAGGGCTGCAGAACCTAAGAGCGAGCGAGTCAAAAAACCTAAAGCCAGTAGAGGAAAAAAGCGAGCTGGATATCAGTTTGGGACGTTTTAGCTATTAGGAGAGATCTCTGAAGAACTTCAACAAGATCAAACGGGAAAAAAAAAAAAAAAAAGATTAAGAAAACAGAACAAGCAGAATCTTTCATTTGGAAATCAGCAGTTGCAAGAGGTCCTGTAATTACTGCAGTGGCCTTCTGTTGCCACATTAGCTTGTGTCCATGCCACCCTACCGCTGTGTGTAGGGGGTTAATGATGCCATAATTGCAGCAGTAGGGGTTCCTGTCCTGTGGTTCGGTGGGCAAAGTCTGTAAATAAACAATATTTGGGAAGGCAGGCAGTAGGTACCCCGTTTAGAGCAGTGTGTCCGGCCTGTGGCCTGCCCACTCATGGGTGACCATGGAAGTGTGGTGTAACAGGAACGGAGGCGAGTTAGGGAACGAGGTGATGAGGGGAAAATAAGAAAAAAAAAAGATGTCGATTGACCTCCCCGAAACGAGGAAGAGATCAGGATGCCCACTCATGGACACACAAGTGTACAGTGTCCACAACAGAGAGGCGCTTATGAACTCACAGTTGATCTATTCAAACAATGACTCAATCCCAGACCACAGCACTGGAGTCAAATGGACTAGAAAACTAGACATCTGCTGGAGAGAAATGTGAGTGGCTTTTGCCTGAGAAAACGCCTTGTGCCGATGCTAGAGTGTTCGGAGGGGTTTTTAGCTTGTTGTTGGTGCTACATTGCAGCTATTGTAGATGTTTGCATACAGAATCAACTTAAAAGATCACATCCTCAAGTCTCCATAAAATTATGCTCTCTAGATACAGCAAATATGTAAATGCTGTACAACAGTAAAAATCCCATGAATTTTCTCCATAGCAGAATTGATTTTTAACAATACACTTTCAACCTTTAAAAGACAGACCTACTGTGAGCTACGAGGTTGTTAATCAATGGAATATGATTTTGTTGAAGCCATCAGCCATCTAATTTCAACTTTAAATAATTGTGTTTAACAGCAGATTTCCAGGTGGAAAAACTACATCCCATGATCCTACAATCAACAGTTTTAGGTCACACTTTATGTTAAGGTCCGATTCTCGCCATTAATTACGACTTTTGCTTCAACTGACTCCTAATTTCTAGCTGTTAAGTTTAGGTATTGGGTATGGATGGCTAGGGATGTAAAATATTGTCATGCAGAATATGTGCTTTATAAGTACTAATAAACAGCCAATATGTTAATAATAAGCATGCTAATAAGCAACTAGTTAATAGTGAGAATGGGTCCCTATACTAAAGTGTTAACCAGTTTTGTATTTCTACATAATTTTTTATTTGATTGTGTCTTTTGCATTGCTTCAAGGGATTGTAGCTCTTTCCATCATTAAAGCCGTTACGCAGTCTTGTGCCTTTGTCTTTTTGTCCAATTTTTCAAATGTTTTTGCTTCAAATCCAAGTTTGTACCTTGTAGCTGGCTGACTTGCTTCATGGCTTTTGACTCTTACACAAAGACTTATTTTGAATCAAAATGGGAAAACACATCACTCAAATATGTAGTTATATCATTAAAAAATAAATTATATCAATATTTTTAAAAATGTTGTTTTTCAAATTTTAAATTATTATTATTTTTTTTTTTGGTAAATATTGTATAAAATTGCATTCATATTATTTTATCAATGCTGTGCATGTGTTATATAAATTAAACCGTTATATCATATATATCGGCTTTATACCAGCAAGATATTGGCAGCATTAAAAATGTTTTAGAGTCTGGTTTGAAAACAATCATTATTTTTGCAATTGCATTTTGTGGCATAGAATTCATCAGAAAAAATTAAAAAAGGAAGAGAAAAGTCCTGTGGATTTCTTACCGTTTTCGAAACAATCTGTTTCCTTGGTTGTCCAATTTTGAAAGGAATCCTAGAAAAAAAGAAATGCATAATTATAAGGTGGATCACATTTAGACAAAGAATGCATTTAATTTATTATCTTAAATTAATTTTATTTAACATTTATAACATTAAGTACAATTATAATATAAAATTTTACTCAGTCTATTTTTATTTTTATATTATCAAAGAAAGGCTGAATGCTTCATTTAAAGGTCATTAAGTATTTCATAGACAGTTTTGGGGTTCACTAGGAAAACCCCAGCAGCTAATCAAATCATTTCATATGGGCCACATAAATCCATCTCAGAAGCTATCAAAGGCGGATGAGCATAATTAGAAGTGGCTGTCGCCGCTGCCACAAGTCTTCCTGTGGTCTGCCGGGGGGAGATCACTACATGTGCACCTCTTACACACATGCACGTTTCCTGTGGTCTGCTACTGCAAGCGGGCATTCGCTCAGAGCCCTGCAAACTCAGGTGTTCACAGGAAGCGGTCTCACATACACAAGTGTGCAACACACGGCAGCAAATCAATAGCAACCACATGTCACCTTCAGGAATGAACCCGAATAATGAGTTCACAGTCCCCCACGGATCGTAACTCCAGTTCGGTGGTGATTCCACTATATATCACGACCAAACGGTTCTGAATTTCTTTAAAGTTACATTTTGTGTTTATTAAAGCATATTACTTGTAGTTCAATAAATAAGTGAAGAATCACAACACAAGAGAACTAACCTTTTTAGTTCTAGACTGATTCTTCATTAGGACAGTAAGGGTCAGATAAGCCTATAAATGAGTTCAGAGCTAATAAAGTCAATCTTTTCACAATGTCTGACAATCAATTTTCACTTTTTAGCAGACCTCAACAGATCCTAACATTGACACCCAAGCCCTCTGGGTGTGAAGGTGTTAACTTTGGACTGGTTTTCTTCCAATTCAACAAATGCAAAAAAAGACCGATACACCTACAGATCGTCCTTCAGTTAGGTCACAACGGTTGGTTTTGTCTCCTGATAAAATCTCATTCAAAGTTCAACTTGTTTAATTTGATACTTTGTGCCATTCTGTCACCTTTTCTAACCCATTTGTTTTATGCTGCTGTTAACTGTCAAGTTTAAAGAGAGGAACGTGACAAAATAATGCTGTTTGGAATTGAAGAACTTCATTCTGGTGAACTGATTTCTGACGTTGAACAGTAAACAATCTCTCAAAATCGTTTCATTTCAAATCACACCAAAGGCCTCAAGCTAATGTAGCAGAACCGTGGTGCTTCAACGAATGAAACATACCATGCTGTTCACATGGATGATCAAGGTTCAAGTCCAGCCTGCAACATGACCAAATCTCCAAATATACAGAAATATTTACCTACATATATTTTTACAAAAACATTTTAACATGGAAAAAAAGTAAAGAAGGGATTTCCCTGATCATTTATGAGTCATGCAATCAAATCATGTCAAAGTTTTGAACCAAATCATGCAAAGCAGAGTTAGTGTAAGGACAAGGCCCTTGAAAAACTTAATTGCCAAATAAAAAAAAACATTCGAATAATCACAATATTGCTTAATTCGCAGCATGAATATACTGGGAGTATTCAATATATCACCCAGCCCTAAACCTTGTATTATCCGCAGACCAACGGCGATCGTAAACAATAAACAAATAATATTGGTCAATGCTGATACCATCACATAACTGCATTCCTAATTGTGTGGGTTTAAAAAAAAAAAAACAGCAGGATTGACACCATTCAACCCATTTCTTTGGGAATGGCAGGCCTTCCAGTCAAACTTGTTAATGTACTAAAGCCGTGGCACAATGGCATCACGTTCCCATCTCCTGTTCTCACAACTTCCCTTAAGTGAAGAGTAGCAATTAACCGTTCGGCCCCCTTCTTCTCTGTCTCATGCGTCGTTTAGTAATTACACCTGAGACAGGCTGAGGTAGACCTGAAGAGAGAGAAAAAAAAAACAACACGTTTCCATGGGTGCCATTGCAGGCACCTCTCTCACGCACATCTACACACACTACTATTGATGTGACAGAAGTATGGCTGCAGATGATTGATAGACAGCTGGGGATGACAGGAACGCGGTGATGCCGGCTGCGTCAAAGCAAAGGTGTGTGAGCTAATGAGAAGGAAAGAGAGAGGTGTGAGAGAGAGTGTGCGTGTGTGAGAGAACTTGGTATAGAGGACAGAAATGAAACTGGAACAGTTGCATATATGCATGTATATATATAATAACTGTGATGTCAGTTTAATCTTCGTTATTTAGGAAGAAGACCACCACTCGTGGATATTATGAGCCACAGTACATTTTAAAAAGGCCTTATCATGAACAGTATTTTCTTGCTCCTTTAAAATATACTTTGTATTAATATACTGTGTAGACTTATGCTAAATCGTTGTAAAATGTATAAGAAACTAGTATTTGTTTTGCAGGCCTAATTATCAAAAGAAAAGTTTTTTTTTTTCAATGCATTGAATGTATTATATTTTAGTTTGATCATTTTTATTTAATATTTTGCATTTTTAGGGGATTTTATGGTACTATCTCGTATCTTTCCTCTCATATCTATCCTTTTATTGATATATAGTTAGATATATGATTATAGTTAAAAAAAAAAATTCCTGTTTTCATTTTAAATGTAACGTTTTAGTAACATTTTGTCATTTTTATTAGTTTTTGTTTTTATTTAAATGTCTATTTTTATTAAGTTAAACATTAACTAAAAATAAACTAAAAATTACAGTATACAATATGCATGTATATATATATATATATATATATATATATATATGTATGTGTGTGTGTGTTTAGATGTACATAATAAATATACACAGTATATGCATATATTATGTAAACAAAAACTTTAATTTTAAAACGATTAATCGTTTGCTAATACATATGTAATATACACATATACACACACACATACATATATATATATATATGTATGTATGTATATGTATGTATATATATGTATATGTATGTATATATATGTATATGTATGTATATATATGTATATGTATGTATATATATGTATATGTATGTATATATATGTATATGTATGTATATATATGTATATGTATGTATATATATGTATATGTATGTATATATATGTATATGTATGTATATATATGTATATGTATGTATATATATGTATATGTATGTATATATATGTATATGTATGTATATATATGTATATGTATGTATATATATGTATATGTATGTATATATATGTATATGTATGTATATATATGTATATGTATGTATATATATGTATATGTATGTATATATATGTATATGTATGTATATATATGTATATGTATGTATATATATGTATATGTATGTATATATATGTATATGTATGTATATATATGTATATGTATGTATATATATGTATATGTATGTATATATATGTATATGTATGTATATATATGTATATGTATGTATATATATGTATATGTATGTATATATATGTATATGTATGTATATATATGTATATGTATGTATATATATGTATATGTATGTATATATATGTATATGTATGTATATATATGTATATGTATGTATATATATGTATATGTATGTATATATATGTATATGTATGTATATATATGTATATGTATGTATATATATGTATATGTATGTATATATATGTATATGTATGTATATATATGTATATGTATGTATATATATGTATATGTATGTATATATATGTATATGTATGTATATATATGTATATGTATGTATATATATGTATATGTATGTATATATATGTATATGTATGTATATATATGTATATGTATGTATATATATGTATATGTATGTATATATATGTATATGTATGTATATATATGTATATGTATGTATATATATGTATATGTATGTATATATATGTATATGTATGTATATATATGTATATGTATGTATATATATGTATATGTATGTATATATATGTATATGTATGTATATATATGTATATGTATGTATATATATGTATATGTATGTATATATATGTATATGTATGTATATATATGTATATGTATGTATATATATGTATATGTATGTATATATATGTATATGTATGTATATATATGTATATGTATGTATATATATGTATATGTATGTATATATATGTATATGTATGTATATATATGTATATGTATGTATATATATGTATATGTATGTATATATATGTATATGTATGTATATATATGTATATGTATGTATATATATGTATATGTATGTATATATATGTATATGTATGTATATATATGTATATGTATGTATATATATGTATATGTATGTATATATATGTATATGTATGTATATATATGTATATGTATGTATATATATGTATATGTATGTATATATATGTATATGTATGTATATATATGTATATGTATGTATATATATGTATATGTATGTATATATATGTATATGTATGTATATATATGTATATGTATGTATATATATGTATATGTATGTATATATATGTATATGTATGTATATATATGTATATGTATGTATATATATGTATATGTATGTATATATATGTATATGTATGTATATATATGTATATGTATGTATATATATGTATATGTATGTATATATATGTATATGTATGTATATATATGTATATGTATGTATATATATGTATATGTATGTATATATATGTATATGTATGTATATATATGTATATGTATGTATATATATGTATATGTATGTATATATATGTATATGTATGTATATATATGTATATGTATGTATATATATGTATATGTATGTATATATATGTATATGTATGTATATATATGTATATGTATGTATATATATGTATATGTATGTATATATATGTATATGTATGTATATATATGTATATGTATGTATATATATGTATATGTATGTATATATATGTATATGTATGTATATATATGTATATGTATGTATATATATGTATATGTATGTATATATATGTATATGTATGTATATATATGTATATGTATGTATATAT